TTTTTCTGCATTCTGTTATGGACAGGAGGGAGAGATGCATTCATTTATTTTATATCGCTTCTCTTTTGTCTGTAAGCAGAGGTTTGTATTTATTTTCTTCTTCCTTTTGAAACAAGCACTGGTGTGTTCACCCCCCAACTTTCTGTTTGTGAAGTCCTTATTAAAAATGACTCACAGCAAGCTTGTTAGCATTAAAACTGAGGTATGGTTTATTCATGCATTCAAATCTAAGGGATGCTTGTTTCAACACATACACACATGTATATAAGGAAGAAAGAAAAAAGGAAATAAATTACAACACTCCAGCAGTTACTGTTGACCAGAAATTGAGCCAAATTGTCCATACAAGTACAGCGGCTAGAAGTGCAGGTGAGAGGCTAGGAATACTGCAGCAAGTAACATCTCTACCATTGACATGATGAGTACAGCTCCAACAGCACGCTGGAAGCTTGACACCATCTGGGACAAAGCAGCCCGCTTGATTGGCAATACATACACAAACATCCACTCCCTCCACCACCAATGCTCAGTAGTAGCAATGTGCACTGACTACAGGATGTATTGCAGAAATTCAGCAAGGTTGCTATACAGCACTGTTCCAACTCTCAACCACTTTCATTGAGAAGGACAAAGGGGGCAGCAGATACATGGGAACGCCACTACCTGCAAGTTCTCCACCATCCAGAAATGTGTCATTGTGGTGGTGGAGGCTTGCTTTTCAAACTGGAGGCCTGTGACTGGCAGTGTGCCACAAGGATCGGTGCTGGGTCCACTGCGTTTCATCAGTTATATAAATGATTCGGATGTGAACGTAGAAGGTATGGTTAGTACGTTTGCAGATGACACTAAAATTGGATGTGTAGCGGACAACAAAGAAGGTTACCTCAGAGTACAATGGGATCTTGATCAGATTGGCCAATGGGCTGAGGAGTGGCAGATGGAGTTTAATTTAGAGAAATGTGAGGTGCTGCATTTTGGAAAGGCAAATCAGGGCAAGACTTATACACTTAATGGTAAAGTCCTGAGGAGCATTGCTGCACAAAGAGACATTGCAGTGCAGGTTCATAGGTCCTTGAAAGTGGATTCACAGGTAGATAGGATAGTGATGATGATGTTTGGTATGCTTGCCTCTATTGGTCAGTGCTTGAGGATAGGAGTTGAGAGGTCATGTTGTGGCTATACAGGACATTAGTTCAGCCACTTCTGGAGTACTGTGTGCAATTCTGGTCTCCCTCCTATTGGAAGGATGGTTTTAAACTTGAAAGGGTTCTGAAAAGATTTATGAAACCCTGTTTCCAGGGTTTGGAGGGTTTGAGCTATTGGGAGAGGCTGAAGAGTCTGGGGCTATTTTCCCTGGAGTGTCAGAGGCTGAGGGGTGACCTAGAGATTTATAAAATCATGAAGGGCATGGATAGGCTAAATAGGCAAGGTCTTTCCCCCAGGGTGTGAGACTCCAAAATGGGAGGGCATAGGTTTAAGGTGAGAGGGGAAAGATATAAAAGGGATCTGAGGGGCGATTTTTTCATACAGAAGGTGGTGCGTATATGGAATGAGCTGCCAGGGGAAATGATGGAGGCTGGTACGATTACAAAATTTTGATGAATTTAGATGAGTATATGAATAGGTAGGGTTTAGAGGGATATGGGCCAAATGCTGGCAAATGGGACTAGATTTATTTAGGGATATCTGGTCGACATGGACGAGTTGGACCAAAGGGTCTGTTTCCACGTTGTACATCTCTATGACTGTATGACTCTGACTCAGTGTCGCTGTCTCAAAATCCTGAAACTCAATCCCTATGGACCAAATCAACTGCTGCAGTTCTTGACAGCAGTTCGCCACCACCTTCTCAAGGATGACTAGGAACGGGCAAGAAATGTTTGGCCAACTAGGGATGCCTACATCCCATGAATAAATTTAAAAAAAATTAAGAATGACTTAAAAATTAAATATGAGAGTAGCAATTCACAATTTTGTCTGAGTTTAGAAAGTCTTCTTCAGAAAACCTTGAGTCCAAAATTACTCTTCTTTATTCTGAAGAGGTCATATCAGATTCAAACTTTTAATAAGGTCAGTCCATTTATCAGGTGAATATAAAATTTATCCAGAAAACCAGATTTTAAGAACAAAAGTAGTAGGCGCAGGAATAGGTAAATTAGCCTCTCAAGCTTGCTCTGACTGACCTCCTCTTAGTCTCAACTCTACTTTTCTACCTGCTCTCCATAACTCTTCAAACCATTACTAATTAAAAATCTGCCTATCTCCACTTTAAATTTACTCAATGCCCTGGTGTCCACTGCACTCTGGGGTAAAGAATTCTACAGATTTATGACCTGTTGAAAGAGGTAATTCCTCACCTATTTTAAATCTGCCACCCCTTAGCTTGAAACTATGACTTCATGTTCTAGATTGCATGTGAAACATCTGCTCTCGGTCTACTTTGTCAATTGCCTTTAGCATCCGATATACCTCAATTGGATCTCCTCTCATTTTTCTAAACTCTAGCAAGTATAGGCCTAACCTGCTCATCTCCACAAAAGAATCGGTCAAGTGAACCTCCTCCGACCAGCTCCAACGCAACTGCATCCCACCTCAATGGGACCAAAACTGGAAGCAATATGTGGTCTTACCAATACCTTGTGCAGTTTCTCTCCATTTAGAGAAATTGCCTTTTTATTGCAACTAACTTTCCCACCTATTTTAGCGTCACCTGCAAATTTGGTCACAGTATACTTTATCCCTGTATCCAAGTCATTAATAGATTGTAAATAGTTGGGACTCAAGGGCCACTTCGCTAGTTACAGTTTGCCAACCGGAGAGAAAAAAAAACGTTTATCCAATCTCTCTGCTTTCTGATGGTTGGCCAATCTTCTATGCAAGCTAATTTACTACCACTAACCACATAAGGTCTTACCATGTAAAATAACCTTTTGCGCAACACCTTATCAAGTCCCTTCTGGAAATCAAGATACATTACATTCAATATCTATAGGACTGATTATGTTTGTTACATCATCAAATAAAAACTCTAGCGAATTAGTGAAACATCATTTACCCTTCATAAAACTATGTTAACTCTGATGGATTATATTTTGGCTTTCCAAGGGTCATAGAATCCCAGCAGTGCAGAAAGAGGCTATTCAGTCCATCAGCTCTATAATGACCCTCTGAAGAGCATACCACCCAGAGCCGACCTCTACCCTATGCCCGTACTCAATCTTTACCTTGGCAAATCCACCTAGCCTACACACCCCTGGACACTATGGGGCAATTTACTGGCCGATCCACCTAACTTGCACATCATCAGATGTCACGGTGACTCTGTGGTTAGCAGTCTTGGGTAATCTCTGTGTGGAGTATGCACATTCTCCCCATGTCGGTGTGGATTTCCACTTAGTGCTCTGGTTTCCTCCCTCAGTCCAAAGATGTGTCCCAGCGCTACCTCCTTAATAATGGATTCAAATAATTTCCCAAAGATAGGTGTTAAACTAACTGGTCTATAGTTTCCTTCTTTCTGTCTCTTTCTAAGTAAGAGCATTACATTAGCATTTTTCCAATCCTCTAGAATTTTTCCAGAATCAAGAGAATTGGAAGAGGATTTAGGCCAGAGCTAGGATTAGCTCGGGCTGAAGTCTGATTTGGTGTCACCTGTTAGATACTTAGCAGACTGACTTGATGTTAATGGTATATTACTTTTTACCAGACTCAAGTAATTTAGAATTACAAACGAAATGTTTTACAAAGATCAACTTTGGTTATGTGACACAGTTCTTGGATGAATCGGTTTCAAATTAACAAGGCAGTTTCTATGAAACAACTGGCCTCTACCTCTGGCCAGGCCATTTGTTCTTTCGTACGAGATCAATGAAGAACTGTTAGCACCACTTCAGGCATAATGAGTTTCAATAGTACTCTTTCATTCAGAACTGGCTGCGTGACACATCTCAATGGCTGCACTTTATTCTTGTGGACTGCAAGATCCACACAATGCAAGGGTGCAACATTCCAGGATGGTTATGTCCAGTTTCAAATACGATAACTGATGATTATAATTATAATCCTTCCAGAAATTGTGGTCAATTTGAGATTGGTGACATGCTTTCGACTATCAGTGATCATTCTAAAATTTAAACTAGAATAGCTTTTAAAAGAATTTAGGATCTCTTTTCATGTCTTGTAAACATAGCAATATAGTATATGTTCCTTGGTCTATACTCTTGTACATTATTTTTGGTCATTAAGGTGAATAGTACCAAGCCATATAACATTTTAGAAACAAAACTCAGCAACAAATACTGCAAGGTCAGGTACTGTACAGGACACCTGGAAGGTAAATCTTCTGCCTATATCCCAACAATCCGTTCTACTGTCTATATCACTGTTAAGGCCTTTTTCTAAGCAATTGTTGGTTGTGCATTTTAACTGTTTGTTCTTCTCAACAGGAATGTTCAACAAACAATTTGCTTTCATATAGCCTTTAATGCAGAATAAATAATGTCATAATGCTTCAGACCAACGAAGGAGATAAAATTTTTTAAAACTTTTCGAGAATGTTTGTAGTTGGGGTTGTGGATGAGGTTGTCATCCTTATGGAGATACAACCTCAAGGAGATAAAATGTATGGTTGCCTAAAACTTTCATTGTATTATTTTGAGCTGGAATTAAAATCAGGTCACTGAGCTGAAAGGGCAGTAAGAAAACATGCTTAACAGTGGTCAGAGTTTTGCATTATAAATCCTCACTCTTATGTTCAGTCAATTACCTTCGCTGATAAGTAGCATCAATTCAAGTTTTTATTTTTAAAACTACAGGAATCATATTCCGAAAAGTCTCTCTCAATGAAGTAATTGACAGGCATGTTGGTAAGTACTCTTGAAAAGGAGATTTTGAATGAGAATAGATTCAAAAGCACAGGAGGTTCAAATTTGCTGTTCAAAGCTATAACAGGCATTATGGCTTAAATTTTGCTCGAAATGCAGACTTTCTTCTGGGAGATGCTGTGCAAAACGGTGTGAAACACACTGCAATTTATTTTAATTCCTTAAGGCAAAACATGCTTGATGTGTGCCAAGAGAGCAATTCAGATCACATACTACGAGTTATAGAAAGCCACATGCATTCTCTTATCAAAAGGTGCAAATGCAGTCACAGACAAACAAACCTTTTCTGCTGCAGTACTACTGAACAAAAAAATTCTGTAGAACTGAAGAATTCAAAAGACCAGAAGATAATCAATGCTGGCGGTTTTATTCTACTCTGCCCATTCATAAACTTTAGTGTATTTAAAGAGGAAAATCACATTAAATAACCATAAGGTAACAATTACACCAAACAGCTATAATACAGGAGCTGTGGTTCCTGGTTTTAAAGAGCACTTCAAATGATTTGAACTTCACACACCTTTGCTATAGCTAATCGCTCAAGTATAAACCCTTTATCCTGAGTGGGGATGACCCATACTCTGTATCAACTTGCTCACCTAAATGGTAAAGGGAAAGGATTAAGTGAGACAAAGGATTCTTACTAAACACCCTTAATGTCTACTTCAAAAATGCTGCTGGATTCTTATGTGTTCTACCTCATTGAGAAAACGGATACTTAGTTTTACAGAATAGAACAGAATTCCTGATAATTTAAAAACCCTCAAGCGGTTCTTTTATAACTGATGAGTACCAAATAACATAACGTACTTGTTTGCAAACTATCTGTCACCTATCTGTCTTTTATTAAATATATAAAAAAACCCTGCCATCAGGTAGCAATGGATGCTTTCTTTCTCTTTTGCAAAGTTCAGCTGAATAAAAGCGAAAGAACTGAGTAAGAGGGATTCTGTAACAGTGTCAATAAAATTAAAAGGCTAAAAACAAACACAACAAATGCTACTGGAAACCGTAGCAATAATAATATAAAAAATATTTTAGTACACATAAGCATGTTATTCTTTTTTTATGTAGGCCCAAAATAGGAACCTATTTTTGAGACACATGAAAAATCATTCATATTAGTAAAAGTTCTTGTTCTGAGAAGAAATTTCCAGATATTTCTTCGTCCCTTTATGTTCTTCAAAAGAGAGTGGGGGATGGGGATGGGGATGGAGGGAGGCCTTACGTCCATTATATGATAGAAATGGATTAACTTCAATTCCTCAACTTTCACTTAAAATTTGTATTACAATCCAATATGCTGCACATTACTGTATCCAAAAGATCTGTCAGGCTTTTCATTCAATGTCCTGATCAAAATAGCTCTCTTTTTGGCTGTCAGCATGATTTTATTGTCCTTGATGGCAATGTGTTTGGAAGAAGTTTCCCAAGAAGGTACGATAACCAGGATCGTCCACATATTCATTCATGAATTTGGAATTCAGGACCCTTGGGCGCTTCTTCGCCTGAACGTTCTCTGTGGAAAATGTAGCTTCATAGCGCATGTCTGATGCTGAAGACTGAAAAACAAAAATACTTTGTCAGAAAATTGCTACAGGAAGACTCTTGTATGCATATATGATCCTGTTCCACTTATCCTATTGGCTGCAACATTCAGGGTTCAAATATTGATGATTTAGTGAAGAGAGTGGCATGTTACAAATGTTGGGTAAGTACTGAAAAGGCAGACTGCTACTGAACATGAGGTTACTTAATTTGAATTGAACATTTGCACCATTTTCAGCACACTAAAGGTCTACTTCCTTGATACCACTGATGGCTTTCAATGCTGGGCAGATTAAAATTACCAGCATGGCAGGAAGGAAAGAACACTGCCAATGTAAACTTGGGAAAGACACGAAGTGTAAGATTTGGAGAACAGTGACCTGGGATGGGATTAAAAGTGCCAGCATGAACAAAACAGGAGTGCCAATGCACACTTGTGTCAGTGTTAATGGGAGGAGGCAAGCAAATTGACAGAATTTTGCCACGCTGTTGCTAGAAAGTGCCAGCATGAACTACAAAAGGATAAAAGAGGAACGCTAGGCTGACAAGTAAGAGGAGAGAAGAGCTCCTGCAGATAGTATATGGAGGGAGAAGATTGTAAGTAAGATTGTAGAGAGAAGGAGGAAGTATGGGAGAGATGAAAGGCACCACTGATAGAACGGAAGTGTGTGGCTGTGAACGAAAGTGGATGGTAGATGACAAAAAAAACTGCAGATGCAGGAATCCAAAGGAGAAAAACAGGAGGCTGAAAGAACACAGATTGATTCCACATCAGCATGACAATCACAAGAATAATTTATAAGGTCTAGTGTGAAAAAAAATGTAGGGTTACAGGAAAAAAGATAAGGCAGTGGGACCAGCTGAGCTGCTCTTTCAGAGATGTTTGAATGGGTGCAATGAGCTGTAACCGTTCTCCAATTCTGTGAAAATCTATTTAAAGGAAAATCTATCACTCAGAATCAAGGGAAAACATTTATAACAAGCATGCCACTGACAATCGTACAAAAATGCATCATGGGTAATACTGGAATCCATGGAAATCAAGGAGAAATTTTTCCACTGGTTGGAAGCATATCAGACACAAAAGGAAAGAGTTCTGGCTGTTGAAGGTCAGTCATCTTAACCCTTTCATCATTCTAGCATTTCAGGAAGACAGCTCCCTGTCACCTTTTGAAGGGCAATTCTGGATGGGCAATAAATGCTGGCCTAGCCAGTGATACCTAGATCCTGAAAACTGACCTTCCCAGCACAAAGTCAGAAGTGGGGATATTTGCTGCGCAGTATTTGCAATCTCTCAGATACTGAACCAGTCCATGTCGAAATGCAACATGACCTGGACAACACTCAGGCTTGGGCTGATAAGTGGCAGGTAACATTGACACAAGTGCCAGACAATGACCATCTCCAACAAGACAGAATCTAACCATCTCCCTTTGTATTCAATAGCATTACCATTGCTGAATTGCCCACTGTTACAACATAGAGACGGACAGCTGAATCAAATCAGCCTTCCTACCTGTGTATTCACTACACAGTAAAATTAAAACTTTCAAAAGACCCTCAAGATTGACTTCAATTGTTCCTAACCAGACTTTTTGAAGAACCAATCCCAGGCTCTGTGGATAATCAACTCCAGACACTGGGTTTACAGCTTAAACAAAAGATTTAACTATTTATCAACAATACAGTAACTTTAGTAGAGCAAAATGAAGTAAATTACATAATAAATGTCATCGATTTAAACAGCTTTGTTTTCAGCCCCGTTCACACAAAAGGTAGACAGACAAACAAACACAGTTAAGGGATGACTAAAAAAAAATAACAGAAGCGGTTTTCATGATGCATTGTTCCACACATATATATGAATGTTTCTTGGTTGAATTTCTGAAGATGTCACTCAGGGTCACCTTTTCTGTTCATTCTGAGCAAGTTTCACCTATACTTCTAACTTAGTTTCTATTCTCTGAACTTTCAAATGGGAGGTTGGCAGGGAATTTCCAAATTTTCATGCTGTTGTATTAACAGTTAAACTCCTTCTCCCAGAAACACAGTCCAAAAACCCAGTTCAAACTCTCTCAGAGGTAGTAAGAACTGCCAGTGTTGGAGTCAGAGATAACACAGTGTGGAGCTGGAGGAACACAGCAGGCCAGGCAGCATCAGAGGAGCGGAAAAGTTGACAGGAAAGTTCCTGAAGAAGGGTTCCGACCCGAAACATCAACTTTCCTGCTCCTCCTGCTGTGTTATCTCCAGTTCAAACTCTCCTGTCTTTCCCTCTGCTTGACAATCATGTTCTCCTAGACTTGCCGACACTAATTCCCAGGTACTGGCCTTGTTAATGGCTAAACATCTGCTATCTAGTTAAACATATTGCTTTCTCCTGGTGCCAAAGAATCTGTAGAAACGTTTGATCACAAACCACCCTACAATTAAATTCCATGCCTGGCTTGTTTGTTCCTTTTCTCCCCCCAACACAAGATGCTGCTCACAGTCCAAAGGTCATTTTCAGTTTAAAGCTGCAAACCAAAATTGAGAAAAGTATAAAACAAAGATAAAGAAAAATCAGCGAGGGTTCTAACACTGCCAACATTCTGTGGGTTTCTGCTGACCAGAAACTGAACTGAACCAGCATATAAATACTGTAGCTATAAGAACAAGTCAGAGATTAGAATTCTGCAGTGAATAATTCACATCCGTATCTCCCCAAAGCTCGACCACCATCTAGAAGACACTTCACCCTCCACTTTCCTGAATTAATGCAACTCTAATAATATCCAAAAAACTTGACAGCAACCAAAACAAAGCAGTCCACTTGAGTGGCACCCCAGCCACTACAGATACAAAGTTGTAGCAGGGTGTACCATACAGATGACAATTGCAGCAACTTGCCAAATTTTTTATCAACAGCCTCCATCAAACACTATTTCTATCAGCTAGCAGGACAAGGGCAGCAGATGTATAGGGACACAAACACTTGCAAGCTACCTTCGAAGCCACACACCATCCTGACTTGGAACTATATTGCTGTTCAAAGAACAAAGAAAATTAGAGCACTGGAACAGGCCCTTCGGCCCTCCAAGCCTGCGCTGCTCCAGATCCTCTATCTAAACCTGTTGCCTATTTTCCAAGGATCTGTATCCCTCTGCTCCCTGCCCATTCATGTATCTGTCTAGATACATCTTAAATGATGCTATCATGCCCGCCTCTACCACCTCCGCTGGCAACATGTTCCAGGCACCCACCACCCTCTGCGTAAAGAACTTTCCATGCATATCTCCCTTAAACTTTTCCCCTTTCACCTTGAAATTGTGACCCCTAGTAATTGAGTCCCCCACTCTGGGGAAAAAGCTTCTTGCTATCCACCCTGCCTATACCTCTCATGATTTTGTAGACCTCAATCAGGACCCTCTCAACCTCTGTCTTTCTAATGTAAATAATCCTAATCTACTCAACCTATCTTCATAGCTAGTGCCCTCCATACCAGGCAACATCCTGGTGAACCTCCTTTGCACCCTCTCCAAAGCATCCACATCCTTTTGGTAATGTGGCAACCAGAACTGTACGCAGTATTCCAAATGTGGTCGAACCAAAGTCCTATACAACTGTAACATGACCTGCCAACTCTTGTACTCAATACCCTGTCCGATGAATGAAAGCATGCCGTATGCCTTCTTGACCACTTTATCCACCTGCGTTGCCACCTTCAGGGTACAATGGACCCGAACACCCAGATCTCTCTGTGCATCAATTTTCCCCAGGGCTTTTCCATTTACCGTATAGTTCGTTCTTGAATTGGATCTTCCAAAATGCATCACCTCGCATTTGCCTGGATTGAACTCCATCTGCCATTTCTCCGCCCAACTCTCCAATCTATCTATATTTGCTGCATTCTCTGATAGTCCCCTTCACTATCTGCTACTCCACCAATCTTAGTGTCATCTGCAAATTTGCTAATCAGACCATCTATACCTTCCTCCAGATCATTTATGTATATCACAAACAACAGTGGTCCCAACACGGATCCCTGTGGAACACCACTGGTCACAGTTCTCCATATTGAGAAACTCCCTTCCACTACAACTCTCTGTCTCCTGTTGCCCAGCCAGTTCTCTATCCATCGAGCTAGTACACCCTGGACCCCATGCGACTTCACTTCTCCATCAGCCTACAATGGGGAACCTTATCAAACGCCTTACTGAAGTCCATGTATATGACATCCACAGCCCTTCCCTCATCTATCAACTTTGTCACTTCCTCAAAGAATTCTATCAAGTTGGTAAGACATGACCTTCCCGCACAAAGCCATGCTGCCTATCACTAATAAGCCCATTTTCTTCCAAATGTAAATAGATCCTATCCCTCAGTATCTTCTCCAGCAGCTTCTCCACCACTGACGTCACGCTCATCGGTCTATAATTACCTGGATTATCTTTGCTACCTTTCTTAAACAAGGGGACAACATTAGCAATTCTCCAGTCCTCCAGGACCTCAGCCGTGCTCAAGGATGCTGCAAAGATATCTGTTAAGGCCCCAGCTATTTCCTCTCTTGCTTCCCTCAGTAACCTGGGATAGATTCCATCCGGACCTGGGGACTTGTCCACCCTAATGCCTTTTAGAATATCCAACACTTCCCACCTCCTTATGCCAACTTGACCTAGAGTAATCAAACATCTATCCCTAACCTCAACATCCATCATGTCCCTCTCCTCGGTGAATACCGACGCAAAGTACTCATTAATCCAGGTAAGGATAGACTGGTGAGCCTCACGTCAGTGGTGGGGAAGCTGCTGGAGAAGATACTGAGGGATAGGATCTATTTACATTTGGAAGAAAATGGGCTTATTCCTTTACCGTGACTGGGTCAAAATCCTGGGACTCCGTTGTTAACAGCATTATAGGTGTGCCTACACCGGATGGATAAAAGCAATTAAGGAAGACAGCTCACTACAATCTTGTAAGGGCAATTAGGGATGGACAATAAATGCTGGCCTTGGCAGTGATGCTCACATCCCATAGA